GAAAGGTAGCCGAACCTGAGTCTGGAGTAAGCCAGTAGGTGTTCCTCTTTGGACTTTGCTTCAGTCACTAACATGGCTTTCCACAATGATGAACTGTACAGAGCCAAATAAACCCTTTCCTCCCCAAGATGCATTTGGTCAGTATTATATCAGAGTAATAGAAAATAAACGAGTAAGAGTTCTTGCTGCATAAGCATGAAGATCTGAGTTCAAATCCTCAGCACTCATGTAAAAGTCTGGGTGTGGCTGAATACACTTAGAACCCCAGCATTATGGAGGACATAGACAGAATTGCTGGGGCTTGCTAGCCTCCAGTCTAGATCCCTGCATGGTGAGAGCAGTAAGAGATCCTGTCTCAAGGAAGGAAGGTGGTCACTGGTAGAACAGGACATCTGATCCTCTCTTTCTCTGTACACATTCAGGGACACATCTCACCCCCACACCCCCAACACACATTCACACTGTAAACAAAGCAAGCTATCTAAAATAGTAAAAAATGTTTTTTTAAAAGAATATTGAATTGCTCATAATTCTTAATTTCAAATTGCTTCAAAGCCTCTGTAACATAAGTAAATGTGGTATGGGCGTAAGGCTAACCGAAGAATACATGGAGAGTAGAAAACCAGGTCTGCATTGTAGGCAGTCAAGTTTCAGGAAGAGCACTACGACAACAAGGAAAGAAGAATAAAGAAACATCACTTTCAACAAGTGATGTTGGGACAGTTGGAAACTCACCCAGCAGTTCAGTTTCTACCCGTGCTGTGCACATGAATTAACTAAGAATGGATCAGAGGCCTTGATGTTAGGAGTCCAACTCTCAGAAGATTATGACCTTTGATTAAAGTTCCTTCTGTGTGTTCCATAGAACACAAGTAACCGAAGCTCGAGTAAGATCAGGTGGACTCCATCAGAGCCTACGGTTGTTCCTCTGTGGACATTGTCAAGGAAGTGAAGGGGCTGAGTACTCAGTCAGTGGTTAGGAATGTGTTTATCACATACAAGGGTGTAGCTTCAATCCCCAGCACCAAAAAGTTGTGTGTGTGTGTGTGTGTGTGTGTGTGTGTGTGTGTAAAGGAAAGTCAGAGAATGAGAAAAACATGGAGGATTTTATATACTGACCAGGGTTCTATGTCAAAAATATATGTTAAAGAGCAAAACTGCAACAGCTTTAGCTTAGATGTCAAGTTAGCTTTTATTTATAATTCATGAATTGGGGGCAATATCCTATCCTATTAAGGAAAAGCAGAACAGTAGAAAACCACATAGTTTAACGTCAGGTTCCCTTTCTTGTGTTGCCTTCTAGTACTGTTGCTTACAACTTAATTAGAAAACCATGGATTTTGTGCCCAAAAAATAAACAAGAGAATAGCGGTGAACAGACTTCTCTCTCTCTCTCTCTCTCTCTCTCTCTCTCTCTCTCTCTCTCTTTCTCTCTCTCTCTCTTTCTTTCTCTCTCTCTCTCTTTTTTGGTTTTACGAGACAGGGTTTCTCTGTATACCCCTGGCTGTCCTGGAACTCACTCTGTAGACCAGGCTGGCCTCGAACTCAGAAATCCACCTGCCTCTGCCTCCCAAGTGCTGGGATTAAAGATGTGCGCCACCACTGCCCAGCCTTAGACTTCTCTTAAAAGGTGATAAAAAAATGTCCACCATCATTGGTCATTATGAACTAATCTAACAACTCTGAGAGGGGCTGTGCATGTAACTCTGTGATGGAGAGTTTGTCTCACACACCCAAGGGTCCTGAGTTTGATCCCCAGCACCCCAAATAAAAAATTCTGTGAGATGCCACTTTATAACCATTAAGATGGCTGTAATGAAAAGGACAAATCATAAGTACTGGCAAGGATACAGGGAAATTAGGATCATCACATATTGCTGGTAGGAATGTAAAATGAAGCAGTTACCATGAAAATAGTTTACTAATACCTGAGAATATTTTGAATTGTTGGCATTATCAAGGAAGTGAATAGATGATCAGAGTGTGATATATGAATATAAAATAAGTGGTTTATATTTAGAATGCATAAAGAATGATTCAAAATCAACAATAAAAAGGCAATTCAAATGTAAAAAAAGAAAGTGAAAAGCAATTACCTTATGACTCAAATTCTGTGGCTAGATGGTAACAAAATTTAAAATATTTTTTACATTAAAACTTGTTGAGAGTATTTATAGTAGCACTTCATATTGGGGAGATAGTGGTAATAACCCAGCTGTTTATCGGATGATGGATGATGAGCAGAAAAAATGAAAGATACCATATAATATAGTGACTCTCAACCTGTGGGTGGCAAACCCTCTGAGGGTTGAAAGACCCTTTCACAGGGGTTGCCCAAGACCATTGGAAATATCAGATATTCATAACAGCAAAACTGCAGCTATAAAGTAGCAATGAAAATAATTCTGTGGTTGGGAGTCATCACATCATGAGGAACTGTATTGAAGAGGAACTGCGTTAGGAAGGCTGAGCATCACTGATGGGATGCAATATTAATTTAGCTATTAAAGATATAAGGTGGGTTAGAAGGATGACTTAGTAGGACAGTGTTTGTAGCACAAGTATGAGGACCTGAATTTGGATTCCCTAGCACTTACCTGACAGCCAGGCTGACAGTGCATATCCAACCCTAGAGCTGGTAGAGCAAAGACAGGGGCATCGCAGCATCTTCTTGGCCACACAGCCAGCTAATGAGTTAAATTCAGTGAGTGACCTTGTCTCATAAAGATAGATGGAGATAGTAAAGTGCACCAGACACTGGCCTCTACACACACATGAATGCATTCAGACATGTGTACAGTGTACACATATCCACACAAAAGGAATGAAATAGAGATCCATAGAGTAGCATGAATGGGTCTTAAAACGTTGTGCTAAATAATATAAGACATACAGAAAAGACTATGTGTTCTATAAGCCTATTGATCCAAAATAGTCAAACTGAGAAAAGCAGGCTCTGAGAGACGGTGTCAGGAGGGAGAGACTGTTAATGGCTGTGGGTTTATCTTGGCGTGATGAAAATATTTTGGAGGCGGACAGTGGTGTTGCTGCATAACCTGATAAATATCTAGAAAAATCACTAGTTTGTCAGCACTCTTAACAAATAGTATCTTATGCTATGCTGTTCTCATTTTAAAACTCTTCTTGCTCCTGGAAGTACAAAGCCTTGTTTACTTTCCCCTCTTCCCTCACTCCTCCTTTCTCAGCAGCTGCCGCTGAATATTATGAATACCTTTGAGATATACCTTGCCTTTTACTTTCAGTGGCCCAGGTAGCTGCTGCACTCTCATCCCTGGCCTGCAGCACTCTACTGACTTCTTCATGGATCCCCGGCCTCATTGCCAAATAATATCAACCTATTATGTCAAAAAAACAAAACAGAACAAACAAGAAAACAAACAAAAAAACAGACCCATTCTGTTTAAGAGCTAAGTATGGCAGGATTTCCTAACCATTTTCTACTCATCAACCTCACTGACCTGAGAAGGGTTTTTCAAGATTTATTTAAGTATGTATATGTGGGGGTGGGGTGGAGGTATGTGAACATACACAATGAGCGCTGGTGTCCACAGACCCCGGGACCTAGGATCTCCTTGAGCTAGACTTGCGAGCAGTTGTGAGCTTTCCATAGTGGGATCTAGGAACTGAACTTAGGTCCTCTGCCTGAGCAGCATGCACTCTTAACTGCTAAGCCATCTCTCTAGTTCCTGTGTCAGAAATTTTATGTGATACTGGGTATATAGGTATATAAAATAGGTCTCCAAATAAAACATTTACTGATAATATGTCCTAAATTTGTTTTAAAACAATTATTTGGTATACATATATAATTTTACCATTTATTAATGATTAAAGCAAATTTGCATACTAATGAGGTTAAAGTAAATCATGTGATATGAAACTCACTGCCACTCCTAAAAGGTTTGGAGAAATGAAGCACCCCACGGGGGAATGGTAGAATGATTGATCTCTCTGAAGGCTGTTCTCTGAGAACACATCTCTGGCCTCCCTCCTGCAAGCCCCACCCCCTTCTTCCCTTCAACACCCCGTCATGTTTATGTCTTTACAAGTGTGTCAGCCTCCTTTCCTGACTGACACCCTGCTGTTATCATTTCTGCTGTATTGGACAACATGTAGAGATACTCGTCAGTAAACTCCAGTGGGCCCTAAACCATCTGTGTACCCAGCACAAAGCTACCTGCCTACTTTCATCTCTAGCCACCTATACTAATCTCTTGCCAGAGTTGTCTTTTCTCTGCTAGCCAGTCTTTCTGGCCCTCAGAATTTGCATAGCTAATCCCTTGACCTAATCACCTTTCCTTTCTGATTATACAAGGGCTGTCTCCCTTCTTCCTTTGATGTGAGCCTCTCAAATAGACCCTCGGGGGTGTTCTAAGAGAATACAAGCACCCCACCTCAGCTCCTTTATTTCCTTATTATCACTTAGGACATTTTCTGGCTTTTTGTTCGTTTTGTCTACTTTTTGTTGTTCTTTTTTTCTCTTTAAATCTGTTTTCCTCATGATAGTGGCCCATGCTGTAGAATCATCCTTTCCTGCTGTACCCGTCGCATCAGTGTTGAGTCTAGAGATGATAAATGACTTGTGAATGAAGTACACCTTCTTTTGTCAGTAACCCCTGAACACAGCATTGCATGCTCAATTTAGCATTTTAAGATAGATTTCTTTTGTCTACAAAGTATATTTTTATTTTATCTGTATGAATATTTTGCCTGCAAGTGTGTGTGTGTTTATACCATGTGCATGTATGGTCGCTGCAGAGGCCAGAAGAGGGTCTCAGAACTGGAATCATAGTTACAGTCAGTTATAAGATGTCATCTAGGTGCTAGGAACTGAACTAGCTCTCCAGCCCCCAAAGTATGTTACATAAAAACCTAGATTGACCACATGATTACCCCCCCCCGAAAACTGTCAATGCTTTATTTCTCTAGACATCTCTTGCCACTTTTCTCATGGATGCTTATTCTTGTTCTGTGTGCAGAGTGATGGCAGCTTTAGTGCTTCAGGTGGAGTTCGTCATTTTCAGCTTCAGAACTGGAAACAGAAAGTTAGTCGGACGAAGAAAGTAGAATTCATACGCACAGCAGAAAAATTAAAACACCAGTGAGTATAAGAATATTGCCTCCAAATAATCTCACTAGCTATTCTATAATGAACAATATAAAATTAATTCAACTTCACTTTCCCCAGTCTCACACTCGTAGGAAACTCTTCTAATCACTAGCCTGACAAACAGAGCAAGGGGGAGGAGGAGGGAGATGTGAACTGCTGTCTATTTTAATATAAATTAGCTGTAAGTGAAATTTCTTCATTTTTTTTACTATTTTATATTAGTGTATTTTAAGGAAAACAAAACAATAATGTATTTATGTTTTGTATCTCAAATTTTAGGTAGGCACTTTAAGAATATTTTTGAGTAAGGGTTCTAAAGAGTAAGTAAGTATCTTCTTATAGGTTATGAAGTTGGTAAGTGATTGATGTAGGGCCAGTCCCTCCCCTCTAGTTCCTCCCCTGTCTCCACATTACTGTTCCTTCCCTACAACATGTGATTTCTCATTCCCTCTGTTTTCAACCCACTGAGTTCTTACTGCTGCCTCTGTATGCATGGGTCCAGGACCATCAGTTGAAACTCCTTTCAGGAGCTACATCCTGGAAGAAAGTTAGCCTCTCTCCTCCAGGAACCACTAGTCACCAATGGCTTCTCAGCTAGAGGTAGGATGTCATTCATGACATGCTGGGGTTTTGGTTGGCTTGATCTTATGTAAGCAGTTAGGGCTGCTGTGAGTTCATGTGTGCAACATCCATGTTGTGTCCAGCAAATAATGTTTCAGCGAAGACGTCTTACTTCCAGCTCTTACACTCTTTCCCCTGTGTCTTCCTCAATGATCCCTGAGATTTGGGGAAGAGGGTTGTTAAACTGATGTCTCATTTACACCTGAGCACTCTGCTGTCTCTTCATCTCTGCGTGTTGATCACTTGTCGGTCTCTATCAATCTGTCTACTGCAAAAACCGCTTCTCTGATAGAGTTGACAGATACACTGACCTATGGGTATCAAGATGAGAACTTGGCAGGGACAGTTTAACACTGTGTTCATTTAGCAGAATAATAGTATTAGGTTCTCTTGTAGGGCCTGTGTTGTAGCCAGTCATGGGCTTTGATCTAGTTAACAGTACTAGGCATGCGCTCTGTCTTCGGGAGAGGGCTTCAGATGCAGTCAGAAAGTAGTTTATTACTCCCATAAATTGATCCTACTATTTTATCAGTGGTCATATCTTTCCAGGCCAATTTTAATTGTAGATTGACAGGGTTCATAACTGGATAAAGATTACTGAATAACTTTTCTCTCCCAGTATCAAGTGGTCAGTCCTAGTTAGCGTTACTTTTGCTACTATGAAACTCTATCACCAGAAGCAACTTGGGGAGGAAAGGGTTTATTTGGATTATACTTCCACATCATTGTTCATCAAAGGAAGTCAGGACAGGTACTCAGCTTGAACCTGGAGGCAGGAGCTGATGAACAGGCCATGGAGGGGTGCTGTTCAACACCCCTCAAGGGTACTGCCTTGTTCCCTGTGACTTGCTCAGCCTGCTTTCTTATAGAACACAGGCCCACCAGCCCAGGGGTAGCCCCATCTACAATGGACTAAGTAAATGTCCTACAGTCTTGCCTGCAGCACGGACTTATGGAGGCATTTTCTCAATTGAGACTCCCTCCTGTCTGATGATTAGTTTGTGTCAAGTTGAAATAAAACCAGCCAGCACACTGTCCTAACTACTTTTCTATTGCTGTAATGAGACAGCATGACCAAGGTAATTTACAGTGTCAGAGGGTGAGAGTCCATGATCGTCATGGAGAGGGACATGGCAACAAGCAGGGAGGCAGGTGAGGTCCTGGAACAGGAGCTAAGAACTCATGTTCTCCGTCACTGAATGATCCAGTTTCTAGTCCCAGTTTTCTTAGACACATTCTACTGCTAGGCTTTCCACTGAGCTTTTAATTTTGGTTATTGAGCTTTTTATTCCCAGCATCATTTCAGTTGGTCTTTTTCCAGTCTATCTCTTTGTTGAACTACATTTTCTTGTCTTAGGATGATGTTCAGCTCTGTTTTTGCCCTTCTAGAACACAGTCATGTCTTCTCTGAGTTATTTGAGTGCACTCATCCTTTTGAATGCTTTGTCTCAAAGTTTTTTTCAGGATGTTTGTAGTATGTGCCATTATTACAGGAATAGTGATTTGTGGAGGAGTGTGATGTCTTCATTTTTCATGTTTCTGTTTTTATGCTGGGACCTGTGCATTTTGGTGTTTTGGGGCTGAGTCTGTCTTCCTTCCTTCCTTTTAGAATTTTTTCTTTTAAAAATTCAAGTCCCTCTTTTTACTTTTAGTGGTGGCATTTTCAATGTTCAGTGCAGAGAAATTAAATCACAGAAGAGTTGAAGTGTTTCCCTCTGTGAGACTGGTATTTAAGGCCACTGGTTCTATCTAAAGTCTTCTTTTGTGGGTCAAGTACCATCCTGTATCAATTTGAGCCTCTTGCTGTGAGTTGTAGAACTCTCTTTATGCCTGTGAGGCTCACAGGTCTGGTCCTGACCCTCGGAACACAGCTTCTGCTGAAGTCTTTTAAGATATGGGACTCCTCAAGCACCAAAAGCCTGACTAGATTCAAGACTAATCCCACTAGTTCCGCAACTACCCATAGAGCTGGTAGTAGCAAGTGACTGTGGGCTTACCCTGTAGTCAGATCAGGCTCCTATACCAAATCTACAGGTCACACTGGGGATATAATGTAGGGGCTCTTGCCACTATCTTCAGTCACCCTAAGAGCCAGTGCTCCTCCTGAGCAGAGCTGCTCTGCAGTGAAGCCCATCACTGAAGAAGGCTGTGAGCAGTTTTATTGAGAGGACTGTGCTCTGGAGCTATGTTTTCAATGATCTTTTAATTAATTGTCCTCCCTTGGTTTCTGGTCCTCTAAGGTTTCCTCCATGTATTCTAAGATTTCCACTTATTTCACATTTTTTTCATACAGACCATGTCTTCCCCTATAAACAGTAGTATTTACTGAGTGTTCATTATTGGCAACAGCATCGTGATATTAGTGTGTTCTGAAAATCTTTCTGTTAATGTTTCTAGTCCATAAATAGCAAAATGTAGTTATCATTGCACATTCTGTATCCACGGCAGATATTTCTGTTTGGTCACAGTAATGTTTCTGATGTCAACCAGACCTTCCTAGGACTCCCAACCTTACCCGGGTTTGGTAGCTGTTCTTCTGTTAGAATTTCTATATAGGATGAAATCCTTTCAGCTTCTTATTACTTCTTGTCTCAGCTCAAAAACAACAAAAGCCCCTGAACACATGCATGGAGAATCAGTGGCCCAGCCCATAGGGCTTGCTGCAGTCCCAATGTGACTTCTCCCAATGTGATTATCAGTATATACTTTTTCTCTGTGTTGCCAAATGGGAAGCTCTGGGAAACTGTGGAGAGCATCTCAGGTTGTGTGCAATGATGTCACTGGCTAGAGACATTATGCTGCATATTGGATTCAAGCTGAGAGAGTAAATATTCATATTTACCTTGTGGGAGAAGAAAAACAAACATTGAAAAAATTGATTTTTTTCAACTTAAAAGCCCTCCTGATAATACATATTTTTTCTTTTGTTTTACTTGAGGACTATAACATTTAGAACTTCACAACTAAAGGCTTCTGTATTTTCAAAGGAAACATGTAACAGTTCAAATTATAGTTGGTTAAAATTGGACTTAACTGGTAACTCTATTTTAGCTAGTGTTTTGATTCCTAAACCTTATTAGTCTAAGTAATCACACTCTTATTTTTAAGTGAATTTAACAGAAAGTACTAATTATTTTAAATGTATTCATATGTTAAACAATTAGAGTATACTTAAGTCATATCTATACCATTTGTTTCTTTTCCTAAAGAGTTATTGTCATAGAAAAAGATAAACACAGTCATTTCTACAACCAAAGAGGTGACTTCAGGACTGAGTATAGTATACTGGAAGAACTGGAAAACAAACTGATCAACAGCAGGAAGACAGAACGTAAGTGGGGTCTCTGATGACTTACAGACTGTTGCGTGATCTAAAGGGCAGTGTTGCTCTGTGTTGTCCTTGTACATAGACTGTGCTGTAGTTCTGCAGTGATACAGAGCTGGTCACAAGTCTGTCTCTTAAGGACATGTGTTTATTTTATTTTCACATTACTGTTTAATATTCTAATGAGTTGTTTTCTAAGTCTATTTCTTCCATATTATTAGGAAAGATGATTTGGGGTTAATAATCAGCAAATGCCATTAATATTTTAAAAACTAAAAATTGGTTGTTTCCTGTGCTTTCTGATCCTAGCTCATCAGTCTGGCACTGGTGACTTGAGTGTGAGACCCAATAAATGTCAGCAGGGTCAGAGCCTCTGTCACTGTTTGTACAAAGCTGTAATACTGGGTTACATCCAAGCCGGAGTTTCCTTGTCTGAATTTTAAAGCCTACAATTTCTGTGCATCTGATTCTGAAATGAATACAAGAAAAGACCGTAGAGCTTACACAGTAAATATGTTCTGTTGTTTGTTATGCAGAATAATCATTGTCAGAGGGTGTGAGAATACCTTGCAGAGCTAGATTCTGTATGTTGCAAAAATCCTTATACTATAGAAGCCACTTTGGATTGTATACAGGAAAAAAAATGGCTATTACTAAGCTTTGCAACATACTGATTTGCTAGGAAAGTTTAAACTGCTTATGATACTGTCTTATCACCAGTTAAAAGAATTTTCGAGTAATTTTCCTTTCTAAACATAAGATCATACTATTTTTTAAAAAGATTTATTTATTTTATGCATATGAGTATACTGTAGCTGTCTTCAGACACACCAGAAGATAGCATCAGATCCTATTACATATGATTGTGAGCCTCCATGTGGTTGCTGGGAGTTGAACTCAGGACCTCTGGAAGAGCAGTCAGTGCTCTTAACTGCTGGGTCATCTCTCCAGTTCCAGATCATGATATTTTTTAAAGTCATCTTTTGTTATATAGTTGCGAGACTCACTCTCCCTCTTCTGATGAAGTGAGAATAGGCTGTAATAGAAACTGTTAGTATTCTTTCTAAACTCCACCTCCACAGTTAGATAACACCCAGTTAGGTAACCAGTTAGTTACCAGTTAGGTAACACCAGGTATGCTCCTCCCCATAGTTACCTGGCAACAGCCAGGTAGGCGTGCCCAGTATAAAAGGGGCTGCTTGCCTCCTCCTCCTCTCTCTTATTCTCTTACTCTCTTGCCTCTAGCTTCTCTCTATCTCCTTGCCCTTCCTCCCTTCCCTTCCCCCTCTCTCCACGTGGTCATGACCGGCCTCCACTTCTCTCCTCTCTTTCTCCTCTTTCTCCACCATCTTCTCCCGTTTCTCTCCCCACCTTTGCCCTCTGCCCTGAATAAACCCCTTCCTCTTGTGGAACCATCTGGTCTGCTGTGGTCTGTTTCGAGCTACGCGCCAAAATCCAACAGAAACACCATCCATAAAGTCTCCATTCTTGAACTTCTAGACTAGTCTAGATCATGATGCCGTAACTACTGCTACTTTTTCTTTTGCAGACACTGACAGGGTGATCTTCCATTTATTGCTTATATACTTAAACAAAGGATCCAAAAATTTGTTTTATTTTTGGGTGATTTGTTTTACCCTTTTCTTTTGTGCCTTTGAGACAAGGTCTCCTGTGGCTCAGACTGACTTTGAACTCTCTATATTGCCAGGGCTGCCTCAAACTCTAGAGCTCACTACCCACTTTCCAAACCCTGGCATTATGGTAACATACCACCGTGTCCAACTCACTTTTCTCTTTTTTCAATGCAACTTTATTTTTTTTAAAAACTGTTTTCTGTCCTTCAGTTTTATTGTCATTATTAACACTGTGTGCCTGTCTAAAACAGGAGGGAACAGATGGTCTCTGTCTTAGGGTTTCTATTGCTGTGAAGAGACACTGACTACAATAACTCTTATGAAGGAAAACATTTAATTAGGGGCTAGCTTAACAGTCAGAAGTTTAGTCCATTGTCATCATAGTGGGAAGCATGGTGCATGCAGGCAGACATGATTGTCAAGAAGTAGCTGAGAGTTCTACAACCAGGTCTGAAGGCAGTTCAAATCCTCCAACCCTCAGTCAGTGGTATTTACTTCGAGATGATTGATACAAAAGCAAGAGGCAGGAGGTTTATTTTCTGGCTTGTCGGGGACAGCCTTCAATCAGTCCCTCAAGGGGATGACTAGAAGGCAACCCCAAATGACTATTACAAGCAGTTTTTATACTTTTTAGGGGCTCAGGTTACATCAATAAGGTTACAGTTCAAACTTATTGGCTAAGCATATTGACCTTTAAATCTATTGGCTAGCAAGCATGCATGCATTTGAACTCTACCTGGGACTTTCCAGAGGGTCAGGTGACTGTCAGTACATTCTGAGATTTTTTTTACTCAAGAATGATCCTATGGGTGGAGAATGGAACTTGGCCTAGCCGTGATCCCAGGCAGGTGGGTGTAAGGCTGGTGAAAGCCCCTAGGGCACTTCAGCAGCAGGAAAAGAGAGTGACACTGGGCCTGGCTTGAACAACTGAAACCTTAAAGCCCAACCCCAGTAACATACTTCCTCCAACAAGGCCACACTTCTTAATAGTGCCACTTTCTATGAGCCTATGGGGGACATTTCCATTTAAACCACCACAATCTCTATGCAAAGAGACACATTTTTCTTCATAGATCCCAGCTCTAAAGAAGTAAATAATTGTTCCTTAACTCAGGGATCATTCCTTGGTTTTCGGTAAATGTCTTCATTTTTATTGACTGAGTGGTTTGGCTGTGCAGTGTTTCATTTCCAAATGACAAATAAGATTGCACAAGATAATGGCATAGCTGATGAGCTGTGAGGAAGAAGACAGAAGCCACTCCCTAATTATTTAACTTGCTAACAGAGTTTATTTCATTCCTTCGCTGGTTTCCATCCTGGCCCACCACACCACCCTCCCCTCCTTACATCTTAAGTGCCACAGGTTACCAATGAGTACCACGTGCAGCCTCAGAAAAGTTTCTTGACTTAAAAATCCAATAGAGGACCAAGCTTTGTACAATTAAAAGGACAATAAAGGGATTTTTATGTCTGGTTGAACTTTATAACTTTATAGAGTGGAACTTTAAAAGTGGAACTAAGGCAGCAGTTCTCAACCCATGGGCCGCATCCCCTTTGGTGGTCACATATCAGATATCCTACATATAAGGTATTTACATTATGATTCATAACTAGCAAAATTAGTTATGAATTAGCAGCAAAATAATTTTATGGTGGGGGAGGGCCACCACAGCATAAGGAACTATATTAAAGGGTTGCAGCATACGGAAGGTTGAGAACCACTGAACTAAGGGGCTGGAGAAATGGCTGAGTGTATAAGAGCACTTGCTGTTCTTGCAAAAGACTGGTATTTCACACCCATACTGGAAGGCTTACAAAGCTTCAGGTGATTCAGTGTCCTTGTTTGGCCTCCACTGGGACCTACATATGTGTGTAAATGCATACACACACACACACACACACACACACACACACACACCCCAAGATAAAAAGATCTTTAAAATAAAGATTTAAAAAAAATTTTTTTTTTGGCTTTTCAAGACAGGGTTTCTCTGTATAGCCCTGGCTGTCCTGGAACTCACTCTGTAGACCAGGCTGGCCTATAACTCAGAAATCCACCGGCCTCTGCCCCCCAAATGCTAGGATTAAAGGCGTGCACCACCACTGCCCGGTCTTAATTTTTTTTTTTTAAGTGGAAGCATGTTAGAGTCAAATACTCATATTTGGAGGCCTAATCTAGACATTGCTCTAGCTCTAAACCTATTGATAATTTTAGAAAAGCAAAACCAAACACCAGTATCTCAGTGTTCTAGTAGTTGCCTCGTGTGTGCAAGAAAACTTGGGTTTGATTCCTGGCTCTGGAAAAAGTTGTCATTAAGGATTCTTGTGATCAAGCCTCTGGTATTTTGGGATTAGACAAGTTGCAAAAACAAACAAGAGAAAAGAGGGCTGCAAGCACTACTTGACTGTTACAAAATGATGCTGTCATCTGCACAGCTATGGATGAGTGTGAGTCTGTTTGCCCTGAGTCTTCTACTCATGTAAATAAAAATCCCAGCAGGATTACTTTCTGGTGCTAGGTCATCTAAAAATGTCCCAGGCCATAATTTTGTTCTTATACTTTTCATTATTGACCTACCATTTTACTTCTGGGTGGTTCTATGGTTCTTCTTGACAACCTGTGGCATAGAAACCAGTAAGTGCCACACATACCTATTAAAGAGCATGTGCTCCGGTGAAATGAGAAATTTGTCAGTCTCCATAGAATTAGTACTGGTCATGGGTCGAGGAGGAAGCCTGAGGACCCGAGTTAAGATCTTTAGTAGCCATGTAAAGATCAGGTGTGATGGCGTGTCTTTGTAACTTTAGTGCCATGGAGTAGAGACAGGAGGATTCCCAGAACTCACTGTGGAGCTAAGTTGACTGGATTGATGAGCTCCAGGTTCAGTGAGAGACCTTGCCTCAAGAAATAAGAAATAAATGACAGTGGAGGTTCCAACAAGATGGATCGGCAGGCAGAGACATGCCTCATGACTGGAGTTTGATATCTGGGACCCACATGGTGGAAGAAGAGAACCAACTTCCAAAAGTTGTCCTTTGACCTCTATACATGTACTGTGACATGTAACACATGTATAATAAATGTAGTACATTTTTTGAAACGAAGATATAGGTTACCCTGTTATTAAAAAGTTAGTAAGTTAGAGAACTATAGAGTGAGACATCTGACATTGGCCTCTGGCCTCCACACATATGCTGACAGAAATAAAATCACATAAACCATACATGTGCCCATGAACGTGCGCACGTGCGCACACACACACACACACACACCACATAGAATTAATGTTGGTTAGTTTTAATATTTACAAATAAGTTAAGGGCAGTTTCTGTTTCCAGAAATTACAACACGTTAAAAAGAAAAGCTTTTAAAGAGTACAATGTATTAAACATCAGTTACTCATCATGTTTTTAAAACAATGGTCAATAACTCATTTTCCACAGAAGGAAGAAAGGTACATCCTCTCCAGGTCTTTCGACTAAGGGACAGAGTGGATTTTACCTGCGGAAGCTTAATTGTAACCACACTTGTCACAGTGTGGACTTTTCCTTACAGGAGCAAAGATCCAGCAACAGTTGGCCAAGATACATAACAATGTAAAGAAACTTCAGAACCAGCTGAAAGATGTGAAGCCTACGCCTGACTGTGAGCAGAGTTCAATATAAGATTCTCTTTAATACATTGTCCTTTTCTGCTAGCGCGTTTAGAAATGTATGCTTTTCTAGTAAATGTTTCATCCTTTCCATTTGGTATCGGTGGAGCCAGCCCTCCTTTGTTAGGAATTAATCAGGGTTGGGTGGAGAAGTATAGTAGTCAGAGTTTATGTGGAATTTTTCAGCCTTTGAACTACTATTCAACCCTAAAACAGTGTAAAGTAGGCAGAAGAGCCACTGTGAGGCGGAAACACTGACGCAGGAAGGTTCAGAGTTAGCCAAGTAAGTAGGACATGACTGCTTTCCCAACTCCTAGTCCAGAGCTTATCCTGTCATTTGCTTTTTGAAAAAAAAATATCTTTCAGAAGTATTTCAAACACATAAGAAATGGTTTGACCCTACTGAGACAAATGTTAGTCTGGAGGAGGAAGAAATAAAAAATTACATCCCCAACTCCTGTTTCAAAATTCATTTGTAAAGGCTCAAAGCACAGCGTGTGAACCTGAAGAAGAAGTTGTGTGAATGCCTCACTCTGTCATTTGTTAGTCAGGACATTTGAGGCAAGTTCCCGATCTCTCCGAGCTTTGTGTCCTCAGCTGTGCAGTGGAGATCATAGGCCTCCTCGTATCGTGTGGGGCAGGATGGAGTGCAGCAGTGCTCTAGAATATGGGTGCAGTGCTTGGAGCATGGCAAGTAGTAACACTGACAAACAGGAGAAGGGTGGGAAGTATTCACTAAATGAAGTGAAGCCATAGTGTGCTAGAGGGAACATGTAACATCTTTCTCATAGAATTCTGTTGCATAAGAAGAAAGGAACAAAAATCAAAAGGAAAAAAAGACCATAATTAAATACTTTAAGAACACGTAAACCCATAAACACTGTTGAAAGACAAAGTAGAAAACTATAACTACATATGCAATTTCATAATTAAATATTCACAAGATTTATAAAATGCCTACAAATTAGAGCAACCAAGGTAACAGTGAGAGGAAAATGGACAAAGATTATAAGGCACAAAAGAAATTTTGTATCAAAATTTCAAATTTATATCAAAAGAAATACAAAACTCAAGTGAAATACATGTCCATGTTTCTCAATAATCACAGTAACATCAGTTAAATTGATGACAGGTACCTGACTTACTTTGGACATGATGGAAAGCACATGGGAGGAAGGTGGTGAGATGAGTCAGCAGAGACTCTGCAGGACAGACAGACAGACAAGTCTAACACACTGTGGAGTAGACATACTTTCCTTATTCGGCATTTCAAGTTTAGTAGTTATTTTATAAAAATACTTACTTGGACATGTTATAAATATACATTCACAGAGTTTTATTGTACCATTCTGTGTATTTAAAGGTTCATCAACAGGAAAATTAAATGGATCAGGCCGGTTCTAGGCTCTGAAATACCATACATAGCCACAGAAAACGTGAGGCAGTAGTGTATATGCTTACATGCTAGCTTAAGCATAACTTTGTTTTCTTTTGAGGCCTCACCATGTAGATCAGGCTACCCTCTAACACACAGATATTCACCTGCTTCCACATCCCAAGAGCTGGGATTAAAGGTGCACTACTGTCTGACTTTCCACATTTTTAACCAAAATATTTTCTTAACTAAAAATTAGAAGTAGGCTGGAGAGATGATGGCTCAGCGGTTAAGAGCACTGACTGTTCTGTCAGAGGTCCTGAGTTCAATTCCCAGCAACCACATTGTGGCTCACAACCATCTGTAATGGGATCTGATACCCTCTTTTGGTGTGTCTGACAGCTACAGTGTACATATCATATATATATATATGTATATGTATATGTATATGCATATGTATATGTATATGTATATATATTATATAAATAAATAAAATATTTTTAAAAAATTAGAAGTAAACAATAGTATGTGTTACATGAATTAATTTTTATAAAAGTAATACTGATTATAGGATTTAATAATATGGGTGAGGAAAATACCTTTAATCAGTATTATCATCACAAAATGTACTTATGAGCAAGTTTTCTTAATTGCTCAGGCTAAGAAATGTTTTTAAATAGGGGAAGTCTGTATTAATTATTAACTCAGCTATATGAAAATATGACTTTTTTTTTACAGTTGTTGAGAAGCTCAGAGAAATGATGGAAGAAATTGAAAATGCAATCAATACTTTTAAAGAAGAACAGAGATTAATGTATGTTTTAAACTAACTTAACCTAAAATTTTTACTTTGAGTTGTTACCTGTGAATGTACTGAGTCTTATACAAAAGCAACACTAACACTGCCTTCTGTCCTACAGTTTAAATTGCCTTTTATACTTAAAGTAAATTTTCATTTATCTTGGACACCAGAAGATCGCCAATAAAAGTTTGCAAGATTATTTATGATCGGGGAAACAAACTTCCTTTAAGGCTCATACATGAATATTACTAATATTAGAAATGTCAACAAAGGTAGATGCAACAGTCAGGGGTAATTACATTTTCAGAAGAGTGAAAGATTCATTTGGATCGGTCATTGTGTTATTCAGACTTCATTCTTGCTCATTTTAGATACGAAGAGCTTATTCAGGAAGAGAAAACAACCAATAACGAGCTGAGCGCCATCTCCAGGAGGATTGAGTCCTGGGCTCTGGGTAATTCAGAAACAGAGAAAGCTTTCAGAGCCATCTCAAGCAAAGTTCCTGTAGACAGAGTGACACCGAGTACGCTTCCAGAAGAAGTGGTAGAATTTGAAAAATTCCTCCAGCAAACAGGAGGGCGGCAGGGGGGCTGGGATGATGTGGACCACCAGAACTTTGTGAAGGTGAGGAACAAACATAAGGGGAAGCCGACATTTATGAAGGAGGTTGTGGAACACCTTCCGGGAAGAACGCCAGATGAGGTTCAGCAACATGAGAAGTGGTACCAAAAATTCCTGGCTCTAGAAGAAAAGAAAAAAGAGGTAATAGTAATTACGATAGCTGTTGTGAATCGTGTGCGTCTGTGCCAGGTGTGCAGAGATTAACTGTGTCATTAGCTTTCCACAAACAGCATAGAGTAGCCCATGGTGTCTTACAGCAGGTGAAACCAAGGTGTTGAAAAGCTAGGGAACTTGTTTTCAGTAGTACAACTTCAGTTAGACTTCCCAAGTCCAAACATTTCTACAACAAGGAGTTATGTAATGCACCGTAAGACTGTCCCTCCATTCCCAGGACAAGGGCTGATTCAGAGCTGCACAGATGACAGGAAAAGGTCATCTGAGTAAATGCCACATTAGCTGCTATGGGGGAGCAGACTCTTAAAAGTTTCTTTGCTGTCTTTGAACTTCAACATCATTGTGTAAAGACTCAAATTTTAGCTACCATAAGAAGGTTATAGCAAATGTCCTACAAGGTTCATTTTCAAATACATGTTAGCCCAGCTTTGACTTAGGTCAGGGTTTTCTATCAGCATCTGGTGCTGATTGACTAGGTTGTGGTGGCTGTCCTGTCATGGTGGAGTGGTTAGTGCTGTCCTAGCTGGGCTCCAGCATGAGGTGCTTACAGCACTCCCTCCCCTCTAATCCACAGACACATCTCTACACATTGCCTCTTTCGTCTGGGGAGGAAAATCACCTCGGCTGAGAACGATTCATCTAAAGAAATAGGTTAAATATTGAAATATCTGAGGTGTTTGCTCCTGTTGTCTGAGGTCAGCTGTGGTGAACTTTAACTTGTTTGGTTTAGCAAGAATACATGTCTTCTAAACAAAGAATGATCGCACGTATAGTCTGAAGTTTAGAGAAAGCTGTGGCTTTTGTGTTCTTGCTCTCATTGTTTTACCCCATCTAAAATAAGGTGAGCATGAGGAGATTGACTTTGGGAGGTTTAAGAGATTTTTAGCATATAAATGATTTTTAAAGACAAAATCATAAGCTACTAAAATATGTGTAGGCTTTTCTTCTACCACAGCTTTGAACACTAGATTTTTGGTTGTCTGCAATGCAATGTCAGCACTGTCCTGGAGCCTGGTAGAACTTCACAGGCCTCAACTCCCAACCCTACTGGAACTCTCAGCCCAACAATTCGTTTTTTTACCGACTTGTGTAGGTTGCTTCCCAGCTTTGTGGAATGCCATATCTCAAAAGGGAATAGACACAGTGCTCCTCATAACAGAAGCAAGCAGCCCAGTTCCACGTTGCTCTTATGCTCTGTTTCCTAAGGTTTGACAGATTCGACGTAAGGCTGAGGTAGAAGGCAGTGTGAACACAGAGAAGGAGCTTGCATGGTAGAGGAGACAGAAGTTGGGTGAAATACAAGTATTGAGTGTTAAATATACAGAGTTTAAGATGTTTAGTAGGGAATTTACCATTTCTACCCCCCAATTCCTTTAGTATAGCCTATGTTTTGCATAAATGATGATACTTAATCATTTTCAGAGATGCTCTGAATGCCCTTGAATACCCTCTCTTTTTATGTACATCTCCCTTTCCCATCCATTCCTTGACAAAATATTCCTAGAGCAAAGGCTACCACCTTCTTTTCAACCCCAAATAAGTGGTCCATCGGGCATTCACTAATGACTTTTCCACCATGCCCTATAATGTGCCTATGCCATGTCTCACCTAGACCTGTGGCACTCAGTGCTGATCCATGGACTTGATACCAGTCTGTAAACTTGACTACTCTATCATGAAATGAGGTGATAGATAGGTGATAGTCAGTCGTTCAGCAAGCATACTATTCACTTCAGTTGATTTTTTTTCATAGAATATTTTTCGGGGGGAGGGCACGGTTTGTCTCAGTGAAAGAAGTACATTATACCACAAATCCATGATATGTTTTAAGACTGGCATATCAAGAGGTACTATCTAGATGGTATTTGGTATTGTTAATCACATCTGAATCCTATAACTTTGCTTTTCACATCTCACTATGTACTATGTAGGATTTATTGAATGAATGAATGAATGAATGAATGAATGAATGAATGAATGATAGATACATTGTAAGGAAAGATGAGGAAATAGTTCCCTGACTGAGGCAGGAACTGAATGATACTTTAGATGACATACTGTATGGCATAAATGTTGCTAGAATTTTAAATAATCTTTGACATATTCATACTTAGAGATGGGATGGTTTCATTCTTTCTTCCCTGCGATTATGAAACATCATGTACCAGGTACTAACTCATTTATTTGTCACAAGAACTCTGTGTAAAAATCACTTCCTATCACTTTATGAATGCCTTAGTGAATCTCCATAAAAGAAAGCTTTGATTTGGGGCATGTGGTTCTAGGGGTTTTAGAGTTCATGGCCATCATGGCAGGGAACAGGAGATAGGTGGGCATGATGCTAGAATAGAGAGCTTACATCTTGGTTCATAATCATGAAGCACATGTCCTCTCATAAGACTACACCTTCCAATCCTTCCCAAACAGTTTCACCAACTGGGGACTAAGCATTAAAAAATATGAGTTTATACGGCCATTCTCATCCAATTCACAGCGGATTCTATCCCGTTTTAAAATCTTATTTTGATACTTTGTAAGAGAAAGATCTCTTAGAAAATATTGTCTGCCTAAAAATAGAATTTGAAAACAAAAGTGAGGTGATTAGAGGGAAATGTAGTATCCGAGAATGATGGAAAAGACAGGAGGGCTCCTGCATGCATGGGAAGGCCAAAGAATAATCCAGGGCGCCGAGATTTACAGTATACCATAAGTTTCTTAAACATGAGTAGAAAAACTTCACTGGTTTAAAACAAACCCTAAAAACCTAAACATCCAGCATCTACAGATGAACATCTTTCTGGGAAAATAGAACTGAGGTTGTGTTTGAAATGCCATTGGCTGATCTCATCACAAGCTTGTTTGGTTTTGTCACCTTTCACTCTGATCATTTTAGTCTATTCAAAGTTGGAAAACCAAAAAGCAGCAAAAGAAGGAGGAAATACTCAAGTTAAAGGAAAAGGTAGACACCATGCCTCTGCCTTCTCAGAGCAAACCAGAAGATAATCCAAAGCAGAAAGAGGAACAGAGAAAGAAACAGAAGTTGGCAGTCGAAGCTTGGAAAAAGCAGAAGAGTCTAGAGATGTCAGTGAAGCATGCTTCCCAGCTCAGAGAGGAGGAAGAGAAAGAGAGAAAGCAGCAGAGAGAGCGCCAGCGGCAGTCAAAGCTCAAATTGCTCCTGGAGAGCTACACACAGCAGAAGAGGGAGCAAGAGGATTTCCTGAGGCTCGAGAGAGAGATAAAGGAAAAGACAGAAAAGGCAGAGAAGAGGAAGACGGCTGCTGATGAGATCTCCAGGTTTCAAGAAAGAGTGAGTAAACACCCTTCCTAGGTAGTTCATGAGTGAGTCCTTGCTTCCAGGTTTGCTTACGTAGACACTGAGTTCATCCCCTCATCTTACACGTCACACCTGCTGGCATCACTATAGCACAGTGAGTATGCTTCACCCCTTAACTTCCAGTAAGTTATAGTTAGTGGAAAAGATGTGTGCAAGTAAAGTGATAGTGTCCTGGTCAGATTTTTTTTTCCGTCAAATTGACACAAACAAGGGTCTTCTGGGAAGAGAGAGCTTCAATTGAGAAAATGCCTCTATTAGATTGGGCTGTAGACATATCTATAGGGCGTCTTCCTTATTACTGACTGATGTGGGAGGGCCCCACCCACTGTGACCTGTGCCATCTCTGCACAGGTGCTCCCGGGTTCTACATGAAAGCAGGCTGAGCAAGCCATGAGGCACGAAGCCAGTAAGCAGAGCTCTTTCATGGCCTGTTTTAGTTTTAGTTCCTGTCTCCAGGTTCCTGCCCTAACTTTGCTCAGTCAGTGATGAGCTGCAACTGTAAGCTGGAATAAACCTTTTGCCTCCCAAGTTGCTTTTGTTTGTGGTGTTCCTCACACCACTAGAAACCTAATTAGGACAAATGGTGTGGTGACTTAGGTATAGAGAGAGTATTGTAGGGGGTCGATAGTGTAGAGAGTGCTTACCAGAGCTCTGAGTGTTAGAGAGAAGGGGATGCTTGAATTGAGTCCTGAAGGAGAAGGGAAAGAGAGCTCTTCTCTAACAGAACGGAGAGCTTGTCTAAGGGCTTGGAGGAGTGTCAACAGTGTTATTCATGGGAACTAAACACGTTAGAGCACACTGCTGGAATATAGTTCAGTGGAAGAACACTTGGCTAGTAGGTTGGAGGCTCTAGGTTCAATTCCTAGTGCCCCCCCGCGCATGCACACACACACACACACACACACACACACACACACACACACACAGAGTTATACTTCCAGTATATTTGGAACATCAAGCAATGGATGGGAATCAATAGTTGAGGAGGCTGTGACCCACGCTGAGTGTGATGACTAAGCGAGGCTGAACGTGTTGTCTAGGTGAGACGCGGAAGGTTATGCGAAGATGCTCAAAGTTTAACAAAATCGCTCTCAGTGGGTAAAAAATGCTACGAATTGTTAAGGGCATCAAAATGCACAGCAACAACATTCATAAAGGGAGGTACAAAGGAAAACAGATGAAAAGACATGAGTTGTGTGAACTTCCTTTCTTTCAGTTAACATATATATATCCTTCTAATGACAAAAGAACTCCTGCTTACTTACTCATTCCCCTCTCCCCACAAAGTAAGCAGGCGCCATAATAAAAAAAAAAGAAAAGAAAAATAAGAAAGAAAAGAAAAGACGAGAAAAAAGAAAACAAAACTGAAAATATGAACTCACATGAGAGAATCCATTCTAGAGGAAGCCTTATTGATAGGTGAAAAATGTGTTTAGTTTACTCCTTAAGAGGTTTAGAGTGAGCCTTTGAGTAAAATAAGTGACAGTTTAAAAGACATTAATGCAGGAAGGCCAGCAGGGGTCACAGTCAGGGAAGTTTGGCTTAGCCTTCCTGTGAAAACACCACCTTTGAAGGAGTGGGCTACTGACTTGATTTACATTGTAAACACTTAGGAAAGCAAATTTATGTTGACTGTGTTTTTTAATGTAATCTTTTTTGTTGGTACTTTCTTAGGATTTACATAAACTCGAACTGAAAATTCTAGATAGACAGGCAAAAGAAGAGGAGAAGGCAGAAAAACAAAGGCGACTAACAAAATTAAAAGAAAAGGTATTCTATTGGGTTTTGTTTCTGACACAGCTCTTGCTATGTAGCCCAGGCTGTCCTTGAGTGCATAGGCATATGCCATCATGCCCTGCTTTAACATATCTACCTTTGTTTGTTTGTTTGTTTGTTTGTTTTGTTTTTCAAGACAGGGTTTCTCTGTGTAGCCCTGGCTGTCCTGGAACTCACTCTGTAGACCAGGCTGGCCTCAAACTCAGAAATCCTCCTGCCTCTGCCTCCCAAGTGCTGGGATTAAAGGCATGTTCGACCACTGCCCAGCTAGCATATCTACCTTTAAAACTTATTTTCTCAAACAATATATAATCATAAAAATTTCACATTAATGAGTTCTACATTTCCTAATGTATGTAACATGTATATTATGTGTATTTAAGTCAGATTAAGTGTAGTTGTCTCTTCAGTTATTTATCATTTCTTTACGGCAAGATCAGTAAAAACCCTTTCTGAAATGTACAGTAGAGAATATCTGTAGTCAGGCCAGGAGCAGAGCACACCAGACTGTCTTACCTTTCCCTGGCTCCCTCCTCCTCATCCTGAGTCCTTGACTTTAAGGAGCCCGGCAGAACCGCTCTGTCTCTACCTCACTGTTCTCTCTGTTTCACATTTCACACTTATACACTCCAGAGCAGAACTTCATTCATTTTTAGCAATTATTTGAGTTCCACCATGTCATTTTAGAAGCACTCTTTCTTTCATCATGAATTTTCTGTTTCCTCTCACACATTATTCTTTCTGACCCTTCATTCAACAGCTGTGGGCATTGTTTAGTCCCACTGATAATGGCTCAGAACCAATGTGGGTACGCCCTCGTGGGTCAGTACATGTCTTTATTGCTGTTATTTATTCTACCTTTATTGTCCAATTATAGTGCTCTTATATAAGCTGTAGTCTGTTTCTTGTAATTAAAATAGAAATGAAATAATAGAACCCAGAAAGGATAACTCCACAGTTTATTTGTTGATGTTAGCAGCATACACACAACAGGAGCTGATTTTGGACATGGTACTTTGTTAATGTTTGAGTAACACCAAGTATAGTTTTTAAAACTCCTTCGTGTTACTGGAGAGTTTATCAGCACAAATTTAGTTCATATAAGTTAACTGATACTATTTTACTTCTGATCACAGGTTGAAAATAATGTCAGTAGAGATCCCTCTAGGCTTTATAAACCTACCAAAGGCTGGGAAGAACGAACCAAAAAGATAGGTCCATCAGACTCCGGACCTCTTCTCCATATCCCACACAGGTGAGAAGGTAGTACAAGATGTTCATTTATAGAAATTTATAATGAGTTTTATTTTATGCAGTTGTATTCATGGTTGTATTTTATACAGTTTCTGAATATATATTTTCATCAACAGATTTAAAGCAAATCTCTATTTTTAACTTTTTATTATATTTGTATCGTGTGTTTTGTGTGCATGGGTATGTGAGGGCTCTGGCTGGTATGAGTGCATGTGAGTGTCAGAGATAGTTTCTTCCACAGTGTGGTCTCAGGACCCCAGCAGGGGTTGTCAGTGCCTTTACCCACTTTACCCTTCGAGCCGTCTCACCAGCCCTACATGGATATTGTAGGTTGCCATTTTATCCGTTGTTCTTACCTTCCTACATATTTATAATTGATTTTCTCTTTTTCTCTTTAGGGCCATTCCAACCTGGCGGCAAGGAATCTAGAGGGACTATGAGATAATACAATTGCTAGTCACTTGATAAGAATGTTAGTACATTGCTATTTCAGGAGAAGGTGATTAACTATGCTATTTAAATATCACTAACTTAGGTTGGTTATTGTGCTGTGTATGAATTGAGAGCTTTAAGTGTCTTATAGCATTGTCAGTATTTTGTTTGTACAAAGATGATACATGTTGGCCTGTTATTGATATGAAAGTTATTTAAATAGGTTTGTGTTACAAACATTATTACATTTAAATACTCAAAATATTTCAGAGATGTTTTTATCATGGCTTAGTGACATTATTTAGGAGAATCAGTCTTTTTTAAGCCAAATTTTGTTACTTTTATAACTTGGAAGTAACTAAGCTTGAGTCACGAAAACATAAGGTGTCTTTTTCTTTTTTAAAAAAGAGTTGTTCATTCTAAGTTTAACAAAATGGTAGTTTGTTAATTGTTTCATTTTTGTGTAATGGATATTTTGTATTTGATTAAAGCATGCTTTGTTTTATATGGAGACTATTTTAAATAACCTCCCTTCCTATATGTACTGTATTCATATATTATGATGTTATCCTCTGGGTTTCCTGCAACTATGTCAAATTCTCTTTCAACCTTTTTGGACTCCACAGATTTATAAAATCTTTGTGTCTTTGTACCTTATTGGCTGGTACCATTTTCTTTTGCTTGCCCCAAAATAGGAACATTCTTTCTTTTGAAGTAAGCTAGTTTTAAACAGTATACTGATGGTTTTGGACTCAAAAGTAGAAAACTTCATGTTTGCAAGCAGAACTCAAGTCAGCTTTTCATATAAAGCATTTTATGTCATCTTAACTTTAATAGATTTCAATTCACAAGGAAAGTACTGTATACATAAAATATAGGATGTTTACTTACTACAAATTTTATCTTTAAATGTCTTTAATTATAATTTGAGACATATATAGTCTGAATGGCCCCAAAATTACTAGGATTAGAGATTTAAACATTTTCTTATGTAATAGTTAATAGTTGTATAAGTAATTAGTTTGGAAAGTAAATTTTAATTGTATAGTTATTGATGCACAATGAGGAAGTATTCCTAACTGGAAATGCCCATTTTAGTTATTTATTCTTTCTTTTAAATAATCTGGAACAATTGAGGAATATGCAAGATGAAGTAATTCAAGAGAACAGAACAGCTGTCTTAAGATGCAGGAAAGTAAACCTTTCTTGTGTTGCTTTGTATTGTGCACAAATATGCTCCAGTTGCCTTCGTCAAAGCTAAGCATCCTGCTTGATGTCTTTGATGCTGGTGTTTAGAATCAACCTAGGGCCTTAAGTATGCTCCATGAAGTATCTTTACTTCCAGCCTTTATATTATTTGTGTGTGTATGTGTGTGTGTGTGTGTGTGTGTGTGTGTATGTGTGTGTGTGTGTAAGTATCCTGTCTCTGGGGGCAGGCGCACATGTGCCACAATATGCTGGGGGAATATTAAAGAACAATTTGGTGGAGGTAGTTCTCTCCTGTCACCTTTATGTTGGTCCCTAGAACTGAATTCAGGTTGCCAGGCTTGTGCTGCAACTGCTGAGTACCAAAAGTCACTCGGGTGCTTTGCAGTGTTGAGTTTATAAAGTATAACACAAACCCATAGGTTGCTGTTTTGTAAGAAATTGATTTTTTAGAATTAAAAGTACACCAAAATTTGGTTGGTTTTTAAAGAATCTAGTTTAGTTCTAATCTTTGGTGGAATCCTTCCTCACGAGTGCCTTGTGAACTTAAAGGGGATAGTATATGGCCAAGGCAACTTAAATTCTATATTTGTATGAATAAAGTTTTATCAAACAGCCTTGTCCATTGGCTCTACATTGCCTATAGCTAATTATGTGTTATAGTGAAATTGCAACTGAAGGCCTGAATAGTTGTGACAGGCTATCTGATCCATAAAGTCTAACATTTTATAGTCTGGTCCTCTGGGGTAAGAAGCCAACCCATAATTGAATGTCTATGTATTTGTAAACATAAATCAAATTTACTATTTTGCTATACTTATTAAGAGGAAATCTCTATCAGTATTTCTAAACTATCAACAAGAGGAAATAAAGTATAAGTATAAGTAGTTCTTAAATTGTCTAATTCCCTTTATACAATCAATGTTTTTTTTTAATTTTTTAAGCAAAAATTAATCCTTATTAAGCAAACACTTTTACATATACTGCCTACTTATATTTCTTTGGATCTTTTGTTTGATTTTCATAAATTCTGCTTGGATAGCTTTATCTTCTGATCCTAGTGCCTAAGCTTTCTTAATCTGAGCCAGTACCTGACCACATTCTTTTAATCCTAATTATTCTTGAGTTCTACTATATAATGCATTGGTCTTTGATGGGTCCATTTCAAGGGTCTTTCTCAATCAATTGAACTGCTCCCTGCCAATATGACATCGTCACTTTAAAAGCACCATCCTCAGTACACAGCATAGGTCAAAACGTTGTAAAATGAGGACATTTGTGCATGCATTTTGAAGTAATTTCAGATATTCTAAAGATATTTAGAAAAATGTCTGAATCTTCAAAATGTTGATAAATCTCTAGCAAAACGTTTGTCTCGTTTCTAACTGTATGTTTAGCATTCATATTCATTCAGCTTAAAAGTGTGTCCCTCCAAAAATGTGTCTTTGCAAAATTAAAGTTTCAGATCTTACACTCTTACATTATTTAGGGCCAGGATTTAAAATGTTTTGGTTAGCACAAGAAGAAATGGGTTTCACTCTGAAATTTTAACAAACACAAAAAATCTTATGTGCCAGGGTTGGTGGTGCATGCCTATAATCCCAGCACTCAGGTTAAAGATGCAGGCAGATCGCTGAGTTCGATTGCAGCGAGTTCCTGGACAGTCAGGGCTACACACAAACTGTCTCGAAAAACAAAAAACAAAATCTTATGGAAGGTATTTATGAACTGATTTTACGACACTCGAGAATGGAAAACTGTGGTACTGAGTAGAAAAGACTGTCCAACCTAGGGAGAGAAGAGACGAAATGCTCCACTGAGGTTTTCAGCGGTCAACAGCGGGTGCTGACCCCAACCTGACGCCCGTGAGAAGCTAGAGCCGACTTCGCTCCGCGCGCCAACTGCTTCCGGATCGCGGTGGGTGTCGCTTCCGGAGCAGCATGGCGGCCTCGGAGGACGACAGACTGGCGGGGAGCGGAGAAGGAGAACGGCTGGATTTCCTGCGGGACCGGCACGTGCGATTCTTCCAGCGCTGCCTCCAGGTCTTGCCGGAGCGGTATTCTTCGCTGGAGACCAGCAGGTAACTGGATGCGGCCGTGGTGGGGCTGGCGATGGCGGCCTTCCGGATGCGCGCCGCGGACCGGCTGGACTGCCGGGACCTGCCCGGTTGCGCTGCCGCCGGACCGGGCCTTAACTGCGATCTCTGCCTTGTCCCAGCCACCCCCACCCCCACCCCCAGGTTCCCCGCCACTCTGCACTTCCTCCGTCCCGGCCTCCCTCCTGTATCTCCGCTGGCTGCCGACACCCACTCCTAGCGCCCTGGGAGGTGTGTGGAGCTCCTAGCTAGGACTTTTGGAGTCTCCCGGTTCCGCCTCTTTTCACTTCCCAACCATTTTCTGTGAGCTTCCTTTTCCCACTCCCTTAACATCCTGTGGGTCACTTTTGTTTCCTTACGTTTACGAAAGTAAAATACGAAGCGTTTGTCCCTCATCACTCCTGTCTTGCCCTCCTCCCTTAATTAACTCTTATTAAAAGGTAGGGGAATCCCTGAGATCTGATTGGAAGTTTACTTACAGGGAATTGTAAATCTCATGTTAGGATAAAAAGGTTTGGTGTTGCCTGAAGCACCCTAAGGCTGGAATTGGCAAATGTTTGACATCTGGCAAAGGATAAGGAACTGTTTTAGAAGTAGATCTGAGAAGACAAAAAGAAAAGGCTTGTTTTGCACTGCTTTGCTTTGGAGCCTGGTATCAGAGCTACCTAGGGTCGGATGATAAGAAACGTTGGTTTTATTTCATTTTAGACGAGATCTCACAATAGCCTGAAACTCACTGTGTGAACCACCCGCCTCTCTCTGCCTCCCAAGTGTTGGGATTAAAGACAGGAGCCACCACGCCCAGTAACCCATTGGTTTTGTGCTGGCACCCCCTACATTTTCTCAGTTAGGAACTTCTAGTATATTTTGAACACTTCATGACTGGTTCAGTTTGAGGATTTTTATAGATGACTTCTACAGATGTGATCAAGAAATTCTTAACTGTGGTAGGTGCAGCAAAGGAGCTGAACAAGACAGACTAGCACTCTGAGTAGAGTCCTTTGTTATTCATGTAGAATTTCTGAAATAAATAGCAGTTATATATACTGTAATCCAGATTTCTTTAGAGAAGCCTTTCTTGACTACCAGCCAACTACCTGTAGTTATTGGCTCGTTTAATAACGTTTTGTCTTTTATATAACACTGGGGCTGCCTTTTTTGAGTTGATAGTAGCCATATTTGGCTGTTGGCATCTGAATTAATTAGATCTGATTTGAAATTCAGTTTTTCTTTTACAATGGCCAATATACTTCAAGTTCTCCACGAACTTGAATTTTAGCCACTGGCTGTTGATTCCCAATGTTTGCAACATCTCTCACTATGTTGCACAGGACAGCGTTGCGTTAGCACCTTCGGTGGCAGCTGCCATATACAAGGCATAAACAAATGCTTGTCAGGCAGTGTGAGCTGAGCCCTAGAGGATGAACAGAAGTTTTTGTTTTTTTTTTTAAGCATTTAAAATTTTTTATTCCACGTGTATGAGTACTTTGCCTGCATTGTACCAGATGCCCAGGGATGCCAGAAGAGAGCCTAGGACTGGCTGTGAACCACTATGCGGGTGCTGGGACTTGAAACCCAATCCTTTAGAAGAGCAGCCAGTGAGCCATCTCAGCAGATCCAAGATGAACAGATTAAGAGAAGCAGCAAAATTTTTTCTTCTTTATCCTCAGTGACCAGGCCAGCTCAGTCAGTCAGCAGGTTCTCTAGCGCAGGAGTGAGGATTAAAAAGAAAAAGACAATTAGACAATACTGTAGCATGACCCCAGCCATACTGAGGCTGAAGCAGGTTTATTTTTCCCAATTTGCTTTTATACCATTTTAATTACATGCAAGCATTTAGGTCAGTCTTAGGTTGAGGAACAAGCAAGACAAACACAAAGAGTCAAGGAACAAACAAGGCAATAAACAAATCGCTGTGATTACTGTTTCTAAGGGCTCTTCAGGTTGACTAAGATATCTGAGCCTACTTCCCTGTTCCTTGTTCTAGCCCAAAATCAGATTCCTTCCTGAGCTTACTTCCTTGTCCTGGCCCAATGTCAAGTTCCTGCCAAGTGGCCCCAGAAGCTCTCCACACCACAGATACTGATTGGCCAGCATGAGTTGCTAGACTTCATGTATCACATGCCTAGACTTCAAGTTACTTTTTCTAGAGATAGGAATGTGGCTCAGTAGTAGAGCAAGGTCCTAGCATGCCACAGGCCATGAATTCATTCCAACATTAAAAAAAGTCAAAAATTGCACCATTAATACAGTGAAGAGATATTTAACCTAGCCATCAGTAAAGATTTATAATTGCACTTTCAAAATCCCATGGTGTATATTTGTAAAATTAGAGTGGTGCATGTCAGCACTACAC